TCTCTCTCTCTCTCTCTCTGTGTCTTTTCGTAGCCCTCTCCTCTCCTCTCCTCTCCCCTCCTCCCCTCTGCTCCCCTCTCCTCCTCCTCCTCCTCCCCTCTCCTCCTCCTCCTCCTCCCCTCTCCTCCTCCTCCTCTTCCCCTCTCCTCCTCCTCCTCCTCCTGTTTCCCCTGATTTATCTCCTTGGTTTTGTCTGCTGCTTTTCTTCGCAGCCCACTTTTCTTCCTGCTCCCTTTGCCCTCTCTTGTGCATCCTCCCCCTCCTCCTCCTCCTCTCCTTTTCTCTCCTCCCGCCCGTCGTCCTGTCCTCTGATTTGCCGTTTTCTTCCCTCTTCCTTGCCTGCTGTTGGTCCTCTCCCTGTCCTATACCTGTTTTTTTTTTTTTTTTTTTTTTTTTTTTCCTTCGATTTATGCGTGTCATCCTTGCGCCGGGGCCATGCTAATTAATCTTCTTTCTCTGTATCGTTCCAACTTCAACACATCTCTGTCTCCCGGTGGACACTCCTCTGCCTCCCGTCTGTTCCAGTACGCTCCATCCCTCCCTTTCTCCCCCTCCCTTTCTCCTTTCTCCCCCTCCCTTTCTCTTCCTATCCTGTCTACGCCTGCATTGTCCTTACATTCCAGGGCTCGAAGATCGGGATCCCGTGGCAACAACATCTGAAGCGCAATCTTCTTCCGCGCCCCCAACATTCCGCGCGTGCGCGCGTTTCTTCCCGTCTCGCCCTCCTGCTACTTGCCGCGCGCCCAATTTCCGCGCGCGCGCGCGCGCGCTCCCTCCTTCCTCTTCCATCCCTTGGAAGTGTCTTTTCCTTTTCGAAGCAATTGGCTGACATTCGTCGGACTTTGGGCCTCGCTCCACTGCTCTCGAAATGTGCAAAACGAGAGTGAATCTTCCGCTAGAACATGGAAAGATGCATCGCCATGATTTTTGTCTTTTGTGCATGTCGACAGTAATCCAGCGAGGCACTTTCTCTCACCGTGTACGTTCCCGTTTGCTGCCGCACTTACTGTATCACCCTCTTCCACCGAATACAACGCACCCTTGTCATTAATGTATACATGCAACAAACGGGAAAGGGTGCGTTGTATCCGGTCCGATTCAGTCGTTATGAGGCTGCGTTGTGGTCGGAGGAAGGCCGGTAGTATTTTCCCTTCGCGTACCGCCGTCATGCCTCCTCTCTCTACTCCCTCCCTCCCTCCCTCCACCCTCTCTCTCTCTCTCTCTCTCTCTCTTTTCGTAGCCCTCTCCTCTCCTCCCCTCTCCCCCTTCTTCCACATCACTCATCCCATCAGCTTTTGACAATTTGTTATGCACATGGACACTCTTGGTGACTGGCCTTTTTACTTTTTAATTTAATTCAATTTAATTTAATTCAATTCAATTCAATTCAATTCAATTCTTCTTCTTCTTCCTTTTTTTTTTTTCTTTCAATTCAGTTCTTCCTCTTCTTCTTCTTCTTCGTCCTCATCCTCCTCTGTCGTCTTCCTTCTCCTCCTTCTCCATCGCCGTAGCATGCTCTTTCCACTTCTCATTCCCACTCAAAATTGTTCAAGTTCGTGTCCTCCTCTTCTCCACATTTTCCTGTTCCTCTCTCGCTCTCTCTCTCTCTCTCACTCTCTCTGTGGGTGTCTGCATCACTGCTCTGCTCTCCTATGTCGCTCAGTCGTTTCGTCTGCCTGTCTCATTCTGCCTACCGTCTTCCGCCGAACATAACGCACGCTGATTTTGAATGAATACAAGCCAACTTTCCAGTTGGATGCAGTCATAATAATTAGGGTGCCTTGTGTTCGGTGGAAGACGGTAGCTTCCACACTCCCTTCCTCCCTCCTTCTCGCCCTTCCTCCCGCTGTCGCCTCCCCTCCCTTTGTTCCGTCCTCCCTCCCTCTGTCCTGCCCTCCCTCCCTCCCTCCTTGTTTCCCCTTCACCAGATCTTACAGTAACTCTTCCGCTCCCCTATTACTTTGAGGGTGCGTTGTGTTCGGGGGTGTCCTATCCACCTCCATTCAGTCTCAACTTGACAGGGCCTCCTCCTTTCACCCCTCTCTTCCCTTCACTCCCCTCCAGCGACCCTACTGCGATTACCCTACAGCGGATTTTCTGTTCTATACCCATCTCCTTCCCCTCTATCCTTTTCCGTGGCTCCTCCTGTCCCCCTCGCCGCTTTGCCTCCCCCCCTTCTCTCTCTCTCATTTTTCCATTTGCCTGTGCCCTTTTCCCTCTCTCTTTTGCCTTCCTGTTCCGTTTACCCTCCCTTTCTGTCTCCTCCCTCCCTATTCCCTCCCTTCTCCCGCCCTCCTCCTTCCTTTTACCTGCCCTCGCTTCCTCTCTTTGGATACCCTCGTGTTCTGCGTGGCTGCTTAGTGTCATGCGTTTGCTTTCGCCTTCCTTCTGCCCGAGCCGCCGCTTCTCTCTCTCTCTCTGTCTTTTTCTCTCCCTCTGTCTCTTTCTCTCTCTCTCTCTCTCTGTCTCATTCTAGCGCTACTATGCCTTCATCTTCTTCATCATCGACTTGAGGTCGCTATTTGGCTTATCGTTGTGGGCATCCTCTTTCCCCGAATAGAACGCACGGTCATTATTGCTGTATCTAGACTGAAAAGGTGCGCTGAATACACCTAAAATGACCGTGCGTTCTATTCGAGGGAAGACGGTAGATGGGATCAGCGGGTTAGTTTCTTTCAAATTGGCCCAATTGAAAAAAAGCCCAATAGCGGAAGAAAAGAAAAGAAAAGAGTGTGCCCCTTAGCGACCGACTAAACTTGTGAAGAGTTTTTTTTTTTTAATTTTGAAATAAAAAATTTAATTTTTAAACAAGTGTCAATTTCAAAGGGGGAGGAAAATTCTTAAAAAAAAAAAAAAAAATGAGGAAGGAAATTCACTAGAGCTGTGAGGTGAAGACTGTGGATTGAATTTTTCATTCTCTTTTTTTTTTTTTTGTTTTTCCCGATGCATGAAAAAAAGAATAATCTAGTCTGCGTGGCAAGCCAGTTGAAACAAAACAATTGAATCTGTTTGCGATTCTATTTTTTTATTTTTTTATGCCCAGACACACGTGGCATCATGCATGTATTTTATTTTTTATAGCTTTTAATAATGTCGAGCACCCCACCAATTTTCCTTTTTGTCCTTTTGCATGTGTGTCTGGGCACGGAGGGACGAGGAAGGGAAAGGTATGCTATGATGCTTCAATAGTCCTTTCTATGTGTGCGTGTGTGGGGGGGG